TATTTAGTTGCCCTAATTGAGTTTTTAGAAACTGAGTAAATCAAAGAAAGAAAAGTGTTGTTTTTCTAAATGTTAATAATGATATGAAAATTAAAATCAAACTTTAAAACAAGAATATTAAAAGGCAGCTTTTCCCTACAGTGATTTGAAGCGTTTGCAGCAACAGGGAACAAATGCCTTGACCAGGTTTAGTGCATAGTCCATAGTGCATAGGTAGGTGATTTTTTGCAGCCTAGTTTAATGATTCCATTGTTGAAAAAGCATATTCACAGTTAGGGGCATTTGTTTTTCCTTTTTCCATTCTACAATTTGCAGAAAATCAGGCTATACCATTTTCTACTCTCTATTTCATGATGACTGTTATAATGAATTCCCCGACAAATAGATTTGACCTCCCTATAAGCAGCAAGAATGTGTTTGTATTCATAAACTGCCTCTTTTTTCTTTTTCTTTTCCTCATATATTACTTTACTTTTCATTAATTCAATTCAATTTCAACTCAGTTTATCTATATAACGCCAATTAACAACAAGTCATCTGAAGGCACTTTACAATTCAACAAGATCATACAGTCAAACTGATAAAAATATTTCTAACTAAAACCAGTTAATTACATTAACTCTGGAAATCCCTCACACCAAGACTGCTTGTAGCGACAGTGGAGAGGAAAAACTCCTTTTTAACAGGAAGAAATCTCCATTAGAACGAGGCACATATTGTCTGGTTCTACCTAGTATTAGTTTTTGCCTTCTTAAAAATGAAGTCCCTCAAATCGCGTTGTCTTGCCGCTTGGTCGTGATGCTGTTCAGAACACCGTCATCTGCTCCACTGGTTGCACCAATCGAAAATGAAATCGCAAGTGCCCTCTGGGCCACTATAAATTCGTCAGGATACTAGTAAGTGCACAGCCTGCCAAATGTTAAAAGGGCAATTTTATTGCCATTACTGTTAATATATAATAGAAATTTACAAATTCAGTGATTAAATGTTACAGGGTATGGTATGGGGGGATGGTCATTTAGGAAGGGGGAGGCCCTCCCCCCTCAAGTCGAATACTAGGTAAAGGACTGTTTTGGTAAAAGATGGTGCTACGGTAGAAGATCCAACTCAATGTGATGCTGTGAAAAGGTTGGGGTCAAAACCAGAGGATAATCAATTGATGTTTTGAAGAGCAGCAACAAAAAGTTGTAGTTTAAGTTTGAGGGAACACTTTGTTTGACCTCACTGATGGTGTTCAGGATGCTCTATTTGGATTTGTCTTTCTTTCCACTATGTCATCCACATCTCTTTACTGGCATTATATTGTAAAATAGCCAAAAATGTTTTCCATTTCACTAAACCTCTTTAAAAAGCCAACTTTTATATTTGGACTACTTCTATTAGTTCAGGAATGTTTTGAAGTGAAGGTTCTGACTCCGGGGTCCATTCTGTGATCACCGTCGATATGGCGACAGAAAAATATTCACATTCATTATAAATAGTTGAGAGGATAATTGGATTTCTCAACTATTTCTAATCAAAAAAGAGAAGATCA